AAAATTGGAATTAATCTGAAATTAATTCCGTAACAACTGAATTAATCCTCCAACAATCATCTGAACTGAACAGTCACGAACCGTTCCGGAAATGCGTACCGGCAATATACAAGTCCGTACCGTACCGGAAATGGATGTGTATCGCATGTACCGTTCCGGAAATGGATCATGTGTACCGCGATGTGTACACGGTAGACGTGAACCGCAGCGCACATACCGGTAGACGTGAACCGCAGCGCACATACCGTAGACCGTTCCGAAAATGGATCATGTGCCGTTGTAACACCCACTAGTACAAGAATTGCAAATAGGCAACCATTGTAAAAGACAATAGCGACCATTGTACAATGGTCGCTATGAGAGGCTCGCGGAAGGCATCGACTTTACGCGACCATTTGAAATGGTCGCATTGTCGGTAATACGCGACATTCTTGACCAAGAATGGTCGCGTATGTATTTTTTTTTTAATTCTAAGTTAATACGCGACCGTTTGATCCTAGAAATGTTCGCGTATTCTTTTTTAATTTTTTTATTAATAAGTCATCCGCGACCATTTTGATCTAGGAATGGTCGCGGATGACTTATTTTTGTTTTTTTTTTATATTTAATTATTTTAATTAAAAGCTCTAAATTTTTTTATAATCCTTGTACCTGTTACAGCTTAAAATCATATCAATAGTACTCCACAATACAATTTATCTATCAACAACACTATCATCATACTCATCAAACTAAACGCAATACTTTTAACACAATGCAAATACTATCATTAGAACACAATAATACTTAAAATCCTCATACTTTAATACAATAATACATTGCATAGTAAGCTGTTTTTTTTAAAATATTTACAACCAATAATTAAAGGATAGTTGCAAAATGAGGGTAACAATAACCATAAAGAGTACTTCATCTACTTTGCATTTCAAGGTCACGATAGTGATGCCACGTTTTGTATCTTTGATGTACTAGTAGCACGGGTCTAAGTCGGGGGCAGTAGTGCAGTTTAAACAGCAGCAGCCCTAAGATCAGTCAAGCACTCCGTACAGCATCTGAGCAACACTCGTCAAATGTTAACGAGTGAAATAAGGAAATTACGGTCTGCATAATGTCTTTTATGTAGCTATGCAACTTCAATTAATAGATGTGTGCACTTACAGGAAAAGCAGGTTGCAATCTATGTTTGCACAGTATATATAAAATGTTTTTCAGGACTGGACATTTTAGTTCTTTCCTTCTTTTTTCAAAGTATACAAATTTCATCTTTCTATCATCAGCCAGCTAAAAGCTATTATTAGGTGGAAATTAAAGCATGAAACTCATCAAATAAGTAATAGAAGCCTTAGGCTTTACCTTCTCAGCTTGCTTCTTTATCAAGATTTTAACACAAAATTTATATCATTTGAATTTGAATAACCTGGCCTGATGATCTACTTTAATTAACTCACAAATTTATAATAAGTACCCAATGAATACCAACATGTTTTATGCTGCTATCTGTTAACTATATATCAAGCAAGAGCTTCAAAAAGTTTTTTTTTTTTTTCCCTTTTGATATCCAAGTTTAGTGTCCACCTCTAACCAAAAATAATCAAGAAAAGAAACAAAAACACATAACTGTTATATATATATATATATATATATATATATATATATATATATATATATATATATATACACACATGTAAACAGAGGCGGACCCACAGTGGGGGCAGTGGGGTCAGCTGCCCCACTCACCCACCCCACCTCTTATATAACCCTTGTATGTATATGTGTATATATAGTAGAAGTTTAAGTATAAGTATTAAAAAATAGAGAAATGATAAGAGAATGTGACTTAGCCTAGTTGGCAGAGCGGCATGATTGGCTTAAAGGGAGCCCAGTGTTCGAATCTGTGGCTGAGCGTGTGGTCTGTTTTCAATTTTTTTGACATTTTATTTCACATTTTTCACATTTTCACCATTAACACTATCTTTTCACATTTTCACCATTAACACTATCTTTTCACATTTTCAATATTATTAATAGTGCATATTGCTTCAACAGAATAATATAATCTTCATTGATATTAATAATGAGATGAGATGTGTAATTTATAATGGATCTTTTATTCAAATTATTTTATCAAATTGATTATATTCATATTTTGTTATGAATATTTTTATAATGTTTTGATGTGTTTTATAATTTTCCTATATCCAACATTATTTATGGTTATACTTTTTAAGTGTTTCATTTTTTTTTTCTAATTATCAATTTTCCTTTAATATTTTGCCCCCGCTGAAAAAAATTCCTGGGTCCGCCACTGCATGTAAAGTATATATGTATGCACATATAAATATACCAAAGAGAAGGGGGAAACATTGTAAAGAAGGTTACCTCAGAGGGATGAACAGAAGAAACTGTAGATTCATCAGTAGCCATGGATGATGGGTATGATTGAATCAAAGAAAACACATAAAAAAGGAGGTGAGAATGATGATCTTCTTGCTACTATACAGAGATTCACTACTCAACAGGTTTTGAATGAAAAGAAAGGTGTATTTGTATAGTATGGTAGAAGAGTGGGTACTAGCTAGAAAGGGAAAAGGATGATGATGATGATCTGGTAGTATGTTCTGGTTGGCAACAACCCAAAAAGGCTCTTAAAGCAAAGTACACCAATAAACATTACACTTTATGTTATTGTTTTCCTTGCACATCTATTAAGCTCCCGTGTTTTAAGAAAATGCCATTGAAACCTAAAATGCATTGCTTTCTGACATTAAAAGTTTTTTTTTTTTTTTTTTTTTTGAAGTCCATTGAAATGATTATTACGTGGTTTAAAATATTCTACAGAGTATTATACCGCACCTCATACTTCAAGAATCCTTCAAGAACATCCAAAAGTAACGGGCCACTGTCTCCATTCATGTTAAGATCATATCCATTCTTGCTACTAAATTCTTTTAACTCAGATTTCCAGAAATCCTTTTGCTGCAATGCACCATTGTTTAAAATATTTGCACCAAAAGAAATTAGATATTAGAAATAGATCAAAGAGCTGCAGACAATGATAAAGTATAATTAATTCCAGGGGGAACTATACATGATTACCAAATTACACTCTGGCAAATAAACTTTCAATGTATGGTTTAATTGAGCCCAATCCAAATATTCACATACAAGTGCAGTTAGTAGCCTTCCTGCATTTGGCACAGAGAAAAATAAGCAAGAGCAGATTAGAAGGTAGTAAAGTAAGATTCTTGACCACAGGATCTTACTATACACAAAGCAGTCCAGGAAAACAAGGATGGAAGGTTTGCCATAAGTATTGAGTGTTTCTACAGTTAGCGTTCTATGATATTTATGGGGTACTAACACATCCTAATGAGTTTATTGCTTAATATTTATGTAGGAGGATGATATCATGATAGAAAAATTTGTGCATCTACATAGAAACTTCTTGATGGGGACAAACAATGAACGACGAGTAATACTTATGACTGGTACACAATGGTTAGAAATTGTGAACATATTGAGCAAACTACTCAATCCAGAGAAAACGCTTGCTGCATCATATTCTTTATAGAAGTAGTTGTTTAAAAAATTGATAAGTCCAAAACATAACATATTTAACTAAACCTGATGGAGAATTATGAAGATGTTTAGCACGATCATTGCAGCTGCCTAATAGAGGGAGGCAAGCCTTCATCCTTTTCAATTGCTCTATCCTCCTCCTCAATTGCCTCAAAGACATTTGCCCTAAGTTCAGCCTGAAAAATATGCCCATGTAAGTGCAACACATTTTGTTCAACCAGGTTCACCAGCCACATGGGCAAAGGAATTAGTTGTGAGAGACAAAAGGATAGAAGGAGACGGCTCTGGCGTGTGGCGGTGCGTCACGAAGCAGACGGCGGTCGGTCGGTGGTGTCAGACGACGTTGAAGATCGGAGCAGATCTGTGGCGTGTGGCGGTGCGCCGCGGTGATAGAAGGAGATGGCGGTGGGTGGCCGGCGAGATCGGAGCAGATCTGTGGCGTGTGGCGGTGCGCCGCGGTGAACGAAGGAGCGGTGGGTGGCCGGCGGCGTCGAAGATCGGAGATCGGCGGTTTCTCCCGATCGATATGTTAACGTCGTGTATGAGAGGATGATGAGCGCGCAGATCAGATCTGATGAAGTGATGTGGGTAGATCTAGGGTTAATATTAGGCAACCATTTCTATTATAAATGGTTGCCTATTATAAAACAAGTTCTATTTTAAGGAAACCATTTCTAATAGAAATGGTTGCCCATTATAAATCAATTTTTTTTTAAATAAATACAAAATACAATGGGCAATCATTACAACTAACAATGGTTGCGGATTATTGTTCACTTATTTACAAAATTGCCACCGCGAATTTTTGGGCTAAGATTAGGCAACCATTCTTTCAACAATGGTGGCCTATGGTCAATCTTCTATGTTCAATTTTGTACTAGTGACCCCACTTTTCTTAAACTTTATTACAGTTCTAACACCTGTAAGTGTAAAATAATTTAAACAATATTGGCTATTTTATTTTTAGTCTCATTAGTTTTAAATTAAATTAGTGTTGTTAGAATTATTTCTCTGTTTTGGACCATGTGGTTACAAAATAAGTGGATGACATGCATTGGTGAATAAAGACAACAGATGAAGCATTCAAAGAAATAAGGTGTGTGGTTGTGGCTTATTCGAACAATGGAAAGCAAGAAAAAGGGCTACGTTTGAGGATCAAAAAAGGAGCTCATGATATGCTATAAAAAGGTGATGTTCGAAAGAAGACACTACCAACTTGATTATTACAAATTGCGAGAGCTATCCTGATTTACTAAGCTATTCAGTTTAATGTGATTTATTATTTAACTCTTAAGAGCATTTAATTTGTACTACATGATCAGTACGTGGTACTGCTGAAGCAACTTGTGAAGATTGTTCGGGAATTCGTGTGTCAGTCCTGGATAGGTGTTAGAAAGAGTGGTAGTGGTAAAGGCTGGAGGCCGTCTTCATTTACCTCTTGTAATACTCCTTTTGGTGAACATCTATAGTGGATTGGGCAGACGTGGGTTGCCCCGCAGACGTAGAAGAAGGAGCTCCGAACTGCGTAGCAATTTCTTTGTGTTTTTAATTTACTTTATGCTTTCTGCAGTTATTATTTATACTTGATTAAACAAGTCTAATTAATTAACGAAACTGGTGCATAACTTAATTAACAAGTAAAATCACATAGCTTTCATATTTCAAGTGTCACGGTGCAATTTCAATTGGTATCAGAGCCTGTAGACTTAATCTATTAGTCTTTCGATCTGGCGAATCCGTGCATCTTGAATTCATTTCTTCAGTGGCTATTTTTATTTATTTGTTTATTGCTTATTTGTTTGATCTCACGGGGTGATAAGTGTTACAGAATGGATCGTACTAAAGTCATTCCCCAGTTGACAGGCAACAACTACGCATATTGGAAGGCTCGCACCCGTACGCATCTAAATGCTCAAGGTGAAGCCGTGTGGCGGTCTGTGGTCGCAGGTTGGACACATCCCACCAAACCCAGTTCCAGCACTAACAGAACAGAAATAGTTAAGCCAGAGACTGAGTGGACTCAAACAGAGATAACCAACTGGAAACAATGATAAGGCTTTAGACACAATTTATTCTCTTATGCATGAAAGCTAGTTCTCTATTGTTGCAGGTATTCCTTCAGCTAAAGGTGCTTGGGAGGCTCTTGAGTCTACTTACGAAGGAACGACATCGGTAAAACAGTCAAAACTGCAACTGGTCCAGTCAGAATTCGAAGAGCTTTGCATGAACGAGGATGAGTCAATCATCGACTTTCACACACGCATACAGGATCTGGCGAATCGCGCTATGGTCCTTGGTGAACGATTCTCGCAAGCTAAACTTGTTAAGAAAATACTGAGATCTCTACCCCCCAGGTTTCGAATGAAAGTCACAGCCATCCAAGAGCATGATGGCTGGGAAAATAAAACTGTTACTCAGCTAATGGGAAATCTTAAAACATATGAAATGGAGATTCTAACTGATCATACGAAAAAACAAAAAAATGTTGCTTTTGCTGCTGAAGAAAATAACGTTGTATCCGATTCCGATGAAACTAATGATGATACAGTTGCATTCTTAACTAAACAGTTTTCCAAAATTTTGAAACAGGTATCCAAAAACACACGCAACAGGAATGTACAAAAGGGAGCAACATCGTTCAAAGCTGCGCCTAGGACAGGGGCGTCAAACTTCAAACAGTCTGTCTCACGTCCAGGACAGTCCAAAGAAAGACCCAACAATAAAGGAATCAAGTGTTATGAGTGCGAGGCTTTGGACATGTACAAGCTGAGTGTGCTACCTATCTTCGACGCAAAAAATCTATGTCAGCCATTACCTGGAGTGATGACGAGCCTGACGTTGATACAACTGGATCGGATGTCGAAGAAATCTCGGGTAACTTTGTTGCTTTTACGGCACGAGTCACTGGCTGTTCAGAACCCATTGAAGACTCAGAAGGTGGTGAATATGTCTCTGCAGAAGATGTGGAACTAAATACTTTATCTTTTGAAGCTGAGTTTAATAAGTTGTATCCCAAATGGGAAGCCTTACGAAAAATGAACTGCAAACTAGCTAGTGAGATAGAGATTGTAACCAATGCCAATAAAGTATATCAAACTCAAGTAGCTGATAGGAATGTCTTACTTAAAGAAGCAGCTGATCGAGAAGAAAAATTACAAAACAAAGTACAAACTAGCAATGTACTGATAAAGGAGGCAGCCGACCGAGAAGAAAAACTCCAGCAAGAAGTACAGACATTGAAACAGGAGCTCAGCACCTACAAACGCCAAATCCAAATGATGGATACCACTTCAACACTTGATAAGATTCTTGATTCCAGCAGGAAATCTTCTGCAAAATTTGGTTTGGGCTTCACTGGAAGTAACTCCAAAGATAAGACAGTATTTGTCAAAGCATCTGGACCTGATTCAGAAGACATCCCTGAGTCCAGCACAAGGAAATCGCTCCTATGGTACAGTAAGCGCAAATAAGATACATTATAAACTATATAATCCCGTTTGCCACTATTGCAGGTTACGCGGTCATACCAGACTTGAATGCTACTATTTCTACAAGGATCAAAGGATCGAGAAGTTCAGGCACAAGAACATACAACCGTTCACAAAACAAATTTGGGTTAAAAAGACTGATTATATTTCGTTTGTTTCGTTTCACTCTAAAAGTGCAGGAAGAGAAGAGAAATGGTACTTTGATAGCGGATGTTCCCGTCACATGACAGGAAATGTCAAATTCCTTAACAACGTAAATACCAATAAAGGTGAAGTTACCTTTGGTGACGGTGCCAAAGGTCAGGTGACTGGCGTAGGCACTCTGAATGTTGCTGGTTTGCCAAAACTGGACAAAGTGTTGCTTGTCCGTGGTCTTCACGCTAATCTTATCAGCATAAGTCAATTATGCGACCAAAACTGGAACATATGCTTCACTAAAAATAGCTGTAGTGTGATGGACAAAACAAATCAATGCGTTATGGAAGGTAAAAGGTCAACTGACAATTGCTATATTCTAACTAACATATCTTCTGTTGCAGGACCAGCATGAATGAAGCCGAGATATGGCATCAAAAAAAAAAGGTCATCTAAGTTATAAACTCCTTGATAAACTTGTAAAAGTAGAAGGTGTTTGTGTTTTACCCAAGATGAAAGTCGAGTCAACTATCTGCGATGCCTGTCAAGATGGGAAGCAAACCAAATAATCTCATCCAGCTCAACATACCATAAACACAAGTCGGTGCCTAGAATTGATCCACATGGATCTCGTTGGTCCAACTCAAACAGAAAGCTTCGGATGTAAGAAATACATACTGGTATGTGTCGATGACTTTTCACGCTTTTCATGGGTAATCTTTCTCAGGGAAAAATTCGAAGCACCTGAAGCATTCAAAACACTGGGATTAAAACTCCAAAAGGAAAGAAATGAATCCATTGTTCGAATCCGAAGTGATCACGGCAGAGATTTCAAAAACAAGTTGTTCGATGTCTTCTATAACCAATCAGGAATCACTCATGAGTATTCAGCTCCAAAGACTCCTCAGCAAATGGGAAGGGTTTTAATTAAACGCCAAAGGATTACCACAGAAGTTCTGGGCAGAGGCTGTAAACACAGCATGTCACATCATCAACCGAGTCTACCTTCGTCCAGGCACAACACAAACACCATACGAATTATGGAAAGGTAAAAAGCCGAACATTATATATTTTCACATTTTTTGCTCACGATGTTTTATATTGAAAGATAGGAATCCAGTCTCAAAATTTGAACCAAAAAGCGACGAAGGAATCTTTCTCGGCTATTCAACAAATAGCAGAGCCTACAGAGTATACAATAAGGTGATCAAAACCACCATGGTGTCCACAAATATTGTAATCGATGATCAACCACATGAGATTATCGAAGTTACTCAACCTGACTCAGTGACAGATCCTGAAGCTAACCGCCCTAAATCCCCTGATGCTGGTACTCCGGAACCAGATCCTGAGTCATCTACCTCATCGCCCACATCTAAACCTGAACTAGATTCAGAATCAGACAATGATCGAGATGACATTGACATTCCAACACGCATCCAAAATAGATCACCCATCTTCAAAATTAATTTTGCCATCATCGTTGGTGATAAAGTTTACAGGTTCATCACTCTCTAATTCCTTTTGTTAATTCCTTGAATGTTTTTTTTGGGTGTATTTGTCTAATGTGTCTTGTGAATTACCTGCAAATTTTCCTATATCTAAAGCTGAGTTTTATGTGTTCTTTTACCTAATTTGGTGCCCTCTA